AGGTGGTTAGGGGTGATCATCAGGGAGGCAAGCAGGCGAGTGGTTAGGGGTGATCAGGCAGGAAAATTTCGTGCACCGGGCCTCTAGTTTAAAATAGACACAAAACAAGTAAGGGATCTGTTTCTAGGAGGCCTTAGGATTGGTGGTCTTGTTCCTGGCTACAAACTTAATTAAACTGTTACAAGCAGATCTTGTAAGTGCATTAAGGGTTTTTTGTTGGTTTCTTTGGGGATGGGGAGGAGTGTTAGGCTTTCTTTTCTTTTTTAATCTGGGTGGATTCTTGATTGGATTGGGAATTCTATATGTGAATATTACTGAAAAGTCCTTGGGCTTCTTGCATTTATTTTTGGTTCTGCACCAGTTTTGCATTATCTCATTTGGATATTAAATAGTTTCAGAATTGGCAATATAGAGAGGAAAACCAGATGTGTGTGCTCCACAAAACAGTGCTCTTAGGTCCAGGATCCCCTTAGTAGGCTGCTTTATATCTGTGCCCTGGGCTATTTTCTTTTGGAAAATAATTGGCTGTGCTTCAGAAATGTAGAGGAACCCTCTAAATGAAGCTGGGGTACGGCTCATGCCTGCACCCCACCCATGAGTGCCTCATGGACGATGTGCTGCCCTTCGGGGAGCCCCACAGTAAGTACAGCCGCAGGCTCACAGTGGCTGGCAGCCGGGAGGTGCTGCCTCTGGCTACTGGCCTGGAAGCTCACTGCATTCCAGTTAGATCTTTCTACATTCCAGAGCCTGTTTGGAAAAGGTACCGAACTGAAAATGAGCAGGAAGAATGAAGAAGGAGCTGAAAGCTCATTTTTGGGAAATAAGTGGGAATTTATCCAGGCCAGCTTTGTGCCGCTGATGGGGCTGTGGTGAGAGGAGCAAGAGGCAGGCTTAGGTGCTGGGCCACCCACCCTCTCCCAATGCTGGAGTCAAGGTGTTGGAGCCGAGCAGCAGGGCTTCCGCTGAGGCCTCACGTGGTGGAAGTCCCCTGGGCAAGTTTCTCTGCAGGGTCTGGAGTACGAGCAGGGGAAAAATGATAACTCAGTGGCTGAAGGTCTTTTCCTCCATTAGTTTGCACGTTAAATGTTTAACTCATTTCTGATCACTGAGCAAAACCAAACCAATGTGGAAATGTTTAAAAGGCATAGCATTTTGAATGAATTCCCAATGGAGAACATTTTCCTATTTTTATTTTCATTTACCAGCCAGGCTGGTAATGTGCCTATCTTCACTATTATAATTCTGCACACTTAGATTCTGAGATTTCTGACATAATTCTTAAGATTTAATCAGCTGTGTAGATCATGTGAGAAGTCCCTTTATTGGCAATGCTGACAGGGGAAAATCTATCTTAGGATACCGTAAAATGCCTTCCGTTTGTAGAGGGTTGTGGCTCATTGCCAGAACCAGAGTACAGGCAGAACCTTCTCGGAAATAAGTTCCATGATTTCATAAGTTTCCTTTAAAAATTGTTATACAATTTGACCTTAAATTCACTTGTTAAGGGATCTTTAAAATATACATCAATTATAAACTGTAACTACATTAAAATACCTAACATTTTAGCTTAGTATTTGAAAACATTGCTTAGATTTTTAAAGTTCAGTCCAGGATCTAGAAATCAGTGCTGAGTTAGGGCAGCCATGGCATCACAGTCTGTACCCTCTCTCGCTTTCACCCACCAAAAGGGCAGGTGGCTGTGTGGTTTTGAGGATTTCCTACCAGGTCTCTTGCCTTTCATCGTTTCCCCATTTTGATTTTCCGAGCTGTTGTGGAACAGCATTATTGCCTGGCACAGCCTCTGACCTGAAACACAACCCTCCACTTGGTGGGATGTTGTTGCCCACATTACTTTTTCCTCAGCTTTGCCACTGGGAATAAACCACACTTGATTGTGCCAATTAGACATGAGGTGCCACACTGGGGGGACATGAGGGCTGGTAAGCAAGAACATACCGTGGACAGTCCTGCATAGGACTACTTCATAAAAAATTCACAGATGCCTGTAAGTCAGGAGTGAGTCTGCTCACTAAGAGATGTAGGTGCAGATGCCACAAGCACTGTGCCAGGCTCCAAACCAGCAGGTCTCCCACTCGCAGCTGTGTTGTCTTAGACTTGAAGTCAGGTCCTGTGGGACACGGGGTCAACTAATGACACATTGTCTAGTCAGTGTTCCTGCAGGGCTCCTTGCCGAGCTAGAGGTTTTGAATCTCCAGATTCCTAAGAACGTAGCTGTACATTAAGTAGCACAAAGAATTGACAATTTGAGAAATGTTGTGAAGATAGGGAACGAGGAAAAATGAAGCAGAGTGATTCAGTCATTAACTTCAGACTTACAGACCAGGGTGAAAGCAACCTGTGGAGAGAAGGAACTGGTGGTCCACCTCCAAAAAGAGGCAAAGGGATGAAACACAAGCTAGCCCCTGCCGAACCCTCTGAGGAACAGAGGCTCCTAAAACACTTCCATGACTAAACACAGCCTTGTGTCTCCCTTTCTTCAGGTCCCAGCTAGTGTTTCTTGATTAGAGTCCTTTGACCTGTTCGTGTTGGGAGTTTGTGGAGTAAAGAGTATATAGGGATGCTTGCTGGAGGGACCTAGGGAGCCCGCCTAGATCTTGCTGCTCTTTCTTAAAAAACAATGATGCTTTCCTAAGCCACAAGGAGACTGATGCCCAGTGGAGGCCCTCTGGGCCATGCAGAGGGGGCTCAGCTTTGAGAACGGAGAGCTGTGGGTGTGCTGAGGGGATATCCCCAAGCTCTGCAGTCTCCTGACTGCTCCCAGGCAGAGCTGGCTCCTCAGGTGGACTGTGGCCACGCCAGCTGCAGCCACACCAACTGCTGCCTTTGACTGCTCAACTCTATGGATCATGGGTGCGGGGAGGAGGAAGGGTGGCAGCCTCCCTGGTGATGGGGAAGGAAAGCTATGGAACTGGATAGAACTGTGCCCTGTTTTCTGGTCATGAAAGATCTGAAGGAGAGTAAGTGCTGGGGAAAAGAAAATGTGAATTCTTAGAGGAGACTTCAGTTTTCTCCAATTTTATTTTTTAACCTTTCAAAAACTCATTAGTGCAAACAGTTTATAATGGAAATGAGTAGTGTTTTAAGTAAGAGCCATTGTTGTCAGCTCAGCCCTCTGGGGATCCAGAAGCAAGTTCGTGTGCTCAAAGAAGACAGTTTCAGAAATGGCGAGTGCAGTTGTGAATATCCTGTGGCTGCTGTGTAGACTGGAAGGCAGAAGCCCAACGTGGTCTCCTTGGGCGAAAGCCAGGAGTCGCAGGGCTGGTTCCTCTGGAGGCTTCTTTTCCAGCTTCTAGAGGGCTCCGCAGTCCTTGGCCCGTGGCCCCTTCCTCATCTTCCAAGCCAACCATGGCCAGTGACTCTTCGCATGTGGCATCCCTCTGCCTCTCTGCAGCTGGCAAAGTCTCTGCTTTCAAGACACCCGTGTGACATTGGGCCCACCTGATACTCAAGGGCATTCTCCCCATCTTGAAATGACCAGCTCAGTCCGTCTGTAGAGTGCCTCTGCGAGTATCAGGGCACACACCTGCGGGTCCGGGGAGAAGGAGGTGTGCATCTTGGGGGCAGTATCCTCCCAACATAGCCGGCTGGTGTTAGAATGTGAAACTGGTTTTTGAAGAAACGAAAAGTAGTTAACCTTCTGTCGTCTTTTATTCTAAAAATGGAGTTTACCTGTTTTTCCTTTATGAGTTCCTTGTTAAAGAAATAGAACTCTTGTTTATCAAAAACTAGAATGATATTTTAAAACCACAGACTCTATTTTCATAAGGACTCCGAGCCCACCTTTCCCAGAGTGGGCAATCCCTCTTTTCTCTGCAGATCCACACCTTCTTCCTTAGCTCTTATGCTGTTGCAGGAGGTAGTGGGCTGGTTGGGAATTGTGGTCATTGTTGCCCCACTATGGATGGCCCACAAGTGACCCTGGAAGGTGGTGCCATAGGCATATAATTTGAAGGAGGGGTGGGGTGCACTGCCCAAATAAAAACCCTCACAGCTATGGTATTTCACTGTCATGAATATAAAGCCTCAGAGACCTCCTTTACCACCTCCCCATCCTGGCCTTCGGGAGGTCAAGGCACCAGCTTATCTTCCGGCTGCTAGAGCACCAGGTGGGCTGGGCTGGAGGTGGGCCTGGATGTGGGGGTGCTCATGAGTGGTAGGGTTACCAGACCCTGTCTCTGGGCCCTCACCTGGCCCCCACCTCCAGGCACAGTCCAGGTGCTGTCCCTGGTTGTCATGGGTCACGTGCCTTGGTGATTTGTCTCTGGGACTTGTTCTCCCCCCCGCCCCCCCTCCCCGAGAGTTCTACCGCTATCCTTCATCGTTGTCTTCTCTCCCAACCGCCGCTCCTCATACTCAGGTCTTCTTGGCTCCATCTGGAGCATTGGGTGTTGTAACTCACACCCATGTTTCTGCTGTTTCTTAAACCCGATGGTTAACTCTTGGGGCGGGGGGCGAGGGGGGTGGGCACTTCTTCATCTCCCCTGACTTGCAAATGCTCCAGGAGAACCTGCTGCCTTTCCTGTCCCTCCGGCTGCCCTCCATGTCTCCCTCCCGTGAACCTAGAACAACAGTGATATCCCAAGGTATTCACGTGCTTTATCTCCTGCTCCGTGTCCCACACTCTCTCCATCCCAGTGCTCTCAGGCCTGCCTTTGGCCACGTCCCACACTCTTCAGAACCCTGAGCTGGTTGCTTTTTTCTTCTAAGGCTTAAAAAGCCATCTTTCTGAAATGTGGATGTTTGAGGGAGGTCCCTTGCAGATGTGGAACAATCTGATCACACACACATCCATTCACACATGCCCTCTACACACACATACGTTACTCCAGATGATTGGTGGGCAGGCGGACCCCACAGTGTGGAGTGCAGTGCTGGGTCGTCTTCCTTGGTCCATGGCGTCACGTGGAGTCTGCAGGCATGGCTTTTACTCTGCCCTTGTACCCATGATGGTGCTAACGGTGTCTGCTTTGCCCCTCCAGGTGCTTCAGGGGGCCCAGCTGATAGCCGTGGCCTCCTCAGACCCCACTGCCACCGGCATAGATGGGTCACCTCTCCAGGGCAGTGACATCCAGGTCCAGTACGTCCAGCTGGCGCCAGTGACTGACCACACTACGGCAGCTCAGGTGGGTCTCTGTGGACAAGTCCTGGGTCTTCTGTAGGTATGAACACAGCTTGGTTATTTCTACTTCTGATGTTCTTCCGGGAGGAAAATGAGAAGTTAGATCTCGACCCAGGTGCCAGTCTTAAACTGATTCTTGAGCTATTTTGTCTTGTGCAAATGTTTGTCTATAAACTCAGAAGCAAAAAATAAATTCTGGTCAATTCTCCTTCGAAAGTGAGGGGTTCCCATTGACCTGAGACCTCGCTGCTCCTCTGTGTGGGCGGCCCGGCGCCGGGGGCCGTTCCTGCTGGTGCCACCCTCAGCCTTCACCTTTTTCCCAAGGGCAGGTTTTTGGGCCACTTGCCTCTGAGCAGCCCGCTGCTTTAGGGTGGAAATGTAGGATGGCCCTGCTAGCTGTGGTGCCTGCACTTGGTCCTGGGAGCACCATTTGGCCAGGTTTTCAGCTTCCCACATCATACTTCTAGCATAGCAGTCTGATGGCCTTGGCGGGAACTCTGCATTTGTGAGGCCCACCTGTGTTTGCTGTGTGCTTGTTCGGCATGTCTGCTTGAGCACCAACGAGCTTCCACGGAAGCCTCTCGGCATCTGGCTTTGCTGGATCTCCGCTTAAGCTGCCCTTATCCATGCTTCCTGGGAGCACTGGAAACCGGCTTTCATGCTCTGTTTTGACACTTTCTGAAATGTCAGATGAGTGAGTTGCTTCTTTAGATATTTGAAGTGTTCTTGGAGCTGCCCCTCGGTGAGTGTGCTCAGTGGAGCAAGCATTGTGGCTTCTCAAGAGTCACCCTGGTTGCAGGGGACCCAGGCCTGCCTCTCACCCCCTAATCTAGTGGGAAGAGCTCGCATAAGCCTGACAGCCTGATCCCCTTTAGGGGACAGTGTGAGTGGTTCTGTGTGGTTGGTTGGTTGGTTGTGTTTAGAACAACCAGTTCTAAAGTCAGTGCATATTCCTATTTCTTGAGAGTGACCGTAGGATTGGTCCTGAGAGGGCAATGAGTCGTGGAAACAAGGTCAAGGCTGCCGTGAAGGGCACAGAGAAGCCGGTGGCCTGCATTCTCAGACCTCACAGGCCGTGGGATTAAATCACTAACTTTACTGCTGAGATAAGACAAATGCCATTGTGATGTAGGTGCTTGGCCATGGGAAGGCAGGGGGCATGTGTCTGGGCAGCCTTGGCCTGAGGAGGCCTCAGAGCTCCCTGCCCACAGGACCCTGTGGATGTTCTGTTCCAGCCTGCTAGGTACTGCCTCCTGCCCCGCCTTCTGCATGGTCTGCTGTCCTCTCGGGGTCTGCTCCTCTCCTTTTTGCTGAGCCTCTTGTGTCGATGCCGTCAGCCTTTGGCGTTTATAATTAAAGCCCCGCATTTCCAGGCGGTCCCTCTTCCCTCCTGCACTCTGCTCTGCACTGTGCTAGGCGTTGTGTGCTCTCCATTGCCCTGGGAGGAAAGGAAGTTCTCATTTGGTTTTCTTGCAGCCTCGTGAGGTGGTTGCTGAGGAATGGAACCAAGTAGGTTGCCCATGGTGACCCTGCTGACCAGGTGCCAGCTCAGTGAACTCAGCAGTCCCCTGAGGACTTAAATCCTTATTCTCCTGACTCACAATGAGGCCCCAGTTGGCCCAGAGTTTGGGAAGGTGTGTCCTAAAGAAGGTGTGCACCTCACCCCCCACCAGACCCCTCCAGCCGCTCCCACAGCCCAGGCACTTCCCACTCTGAGTGGTGTTGGGCTTCCTCAGAGCAGTGACCATAGAGGCCCTTCTATTGTGGAGAGGGATGAGGCATGGCCTGGAGCCGGCGAAGGGTGTGTGCGTGTGGGGAGAGGTATTCTCCCCGACCAGTTTTCTGTTGTGATTTAAGAACAAACCTGTCCTAGAAGAAACCTCCCATGTGTACCCACCTCGTCTCATGCCGGGTGATGGTGTCTGATACCCAAGCTGTTGTGAAAGGGTTGTGTGTAAAAGCAGTTCACTCCTGCTGCTGGGTGGCGCAGAGGTTGGCACGGTGTGTGTTCTTCAGGCCTGGGGGGCTCTGTGGTGGGTCATCTTCCATGTTGTAGGTTTGTCGTCATTACAGATTTCAGAGTTGAGGAAAACTGTGTCCATTTTAGCACCTTGCCACCTTGGCTTCCTGGCATTATTTTTTTGACTCGATTCACACCTGGCAGGTCTCAAGATCAATTCAATTAGGACAGATAGAAGAGCAGAGAATGAGGTGCATGCACACTGCCCCAGCCTGTAGCTTCTCTCCTGTCTGCAGACACCAGCACTGTCTAGTCCACTTTCCCTCGTCCAGAAATGTGTGGGGAAGCCCCCACCTCGTCTGTGTCAGCTGGCCCCTTTTTTGTTGCTCTTGCTCAGCCGCTCTGTGGGCTCTTAGGCAGACAGCACGGGCAATGCCTGTGCTGAGTCCTTTGTCTGAGACTGGAAGGCCTCTGCTTCAAGGAAACACTGTTAAATGCCATTTGTATAGTATTTCAAAATCTCAGCCTTAAATTGCAGTAGGGGTTGTAGCACTAGCCCCCATGCCCAGGGACTTCCGCCTTCCAGTCTCTGTGGCTTTCTTTGTCTCTCTTCAGTTGCCATGCCAGGCCTCTCCAGCTAAATTTCCTGCCAGGGAAGCTAGGACTACCTTTGAGGGTCTAGTCTTTGTGACATTGCCTTTGACAGACAGCTTAGAGGACCCTAAAAATCCCCAAATCTCCATCTGGGAGCCAGTTCTGCATGGTTTAGGTGGATGACTGCTGACTTATTCCAAGGTTATATTTTTCCCTTTAATGTATCTTAACATTGTAAATATGCATTAAAAATATCTTAATATCTATAACTCATTGTTCAGAACTTATGTCTTTAAGGGGAGAAAGCTAGCTGCCCCTAAAATGCTTTTTTGGAACATTGGAACAGTTTTTATAAGAAAAGGCAAAATGGTAACTGAAATTCTAGGCAAATATATTAGGTTAAGGATGTGTTAACCACTTCAAGAGTATCCCCAATGATAAGCAGGGGGTGGGAATAGGAAATCAGCACCGCAGACTTCAGGGATCTCTGCAGCTGTGTGGGAGGGTCGTTCAGGATCTGAGCAAGCAGGCGGTCCCGCAAGGAGAGGCCACATCCCGGATTCATCAGAGCTGCTGCGAAGCAGCTCAAGTTTTGGGAGTCATCACTCAAAGCAGGGGTGCACTTAGGACCCGGACCTTCCAGCTCTGCTGTGTGTTTGCTCTGTGCATGAAAACCATTGGTATTTTGTGACCAGTGAGTGTCCTGGACTTGAGTTGGTGGGTACTTTTATAGAAAAGCCCTCCTCTCTCCCCTCTTGCAGACGGCCGAGACCCTGCAGCCCACATTGCAGCCCGAAATGCAGCTTGAGCACGGAGCCATCCAGATCCAGTGATGCAGGACTGGCTGCCCGACCATGACAGGACCCAAGGTGGAGCCGTCACTGCTCTCAGCGCCGGCTCCAGCCAACCACCCAGTTCTACACACGTCTGGCCCCATGGCTTTGAATGGAGGTGACTGCACGTATTCTGTTAAAATGCATCTGGAGCCTCATCCACAGGGGAAAGTCTCCCAGTAAATAACAGATGACAACAGCCGCTAACCCTCCAGAAGACCCCTTCGTTTGAGTCCCACCGTTGGTACCTAGAGAAAGAGTGGGAAGCACAGCGTGGATTGCGTTAAGTTCATGCAGAAAATCAAGAACTACAATATTTTTCTCTGTTTAAACAGCTTTTTAAATTTGCTATGGTGTTTATAACAAAAAAGAAAATGGAAAAAAAAAAAGGAGTAGCAGAAGCCTTTTGCTGTGTGCTCTGTTCAGTGAAATGAAAATAGGTATTTGCAGAGACAACTAACATTTTGATGGAAATATTGCTTACCTACTTTTCTAGGGGGAAATGCTCTCAGCACTGTAATTAAGCATTTTTAATGAAATAAATGTATTTATGACCACAGCAGCTTTAATGTTATTTCCTTTGAAGAGGTGGTTTGCCGAGGCCAGCCTCCCTCCTGGTGGGTGCTCAGGGATCACCCATGAGCCCTTTCCTCAGTGCTGACAGTACTTGTGGGGTTCTTGCAAAGTGAGGGGGGTGGCTTATTCTGTCAGATTAGCTCCCCGATACACAGAGCATTGCCCAGTGGAGTGCTCCCTCTCAGACACAGGGTCCCTGCTTCTTCAGTATTGCAGGTGATCCGGCCTGTCACATGACACAACCATTGCCAGCTCCAGAAAGTTATAGCTCCAGGGCTTCTTAGAGCAAGTCATGTCCAGAGGAGCCTGCCTCATCATCTAACGTTAAAAAACAAAGGCAGATTTTTAGAAATATATATATATATATTATTGATTTTTTACAGAGAGGAAGGGAAAAGGATAGAGAGTCAGAAACATCAATGAGAGAGAAACATTGAACAGCTGCCTCCTGAACACCCCCCAGTGGGGATGTGCCCACAACCAAGGTACATGCCCTTGACCGGAATCAAACCTGGGACCCCTGAGTCTGCAAGCCGACGCTCTATCCACTGAGCCAAACCGGTCAGGGCTAAAGGCAGATTTTAAATGTCTCAGGAGTTCATAATCATGCCTAAGATTGTTGATTCACTAAATGTTTAAACCCATTAAAAGTGTACACATAACAAAAAACAACAACACAGAAAACAAAGGCAGAGAAAACAGTTCGAAGCACAGAGGTGGTTTGCACTACTCGTGATCAGCGTGTGGGGCCTGCTTCTTTCACATGGTTTTGGCAGTTACATTAGTGGGGTTTGTGAAAATCACAACAAAATTGTATTCACTGATTTGGACTATGCTCGGTGCTTTTTCTGGGAAGCATTCAAAGTTGCCATTCCAAATAGTCATGCCTCTTCCCCCTCCACCCCATGGGGGTTCCTGGGCTGGGTAGTTTACATCAGGGCATGCTGGGGGGTGAAAGTGGGGGTGGGGACAGCATGTCTACATTTCATGCCTCTGCATCTTCCAGGGATGGGCATGGTGAGATGAGGACTCACAACTTCC